CCTAAGCATGAATCTCGAGAATATCCAAAGGACTAGAAGACAAAAAATTACAACTAATGAGAGTGCACTGATAGGAAACCAAAGGACTTCTCTTATGCCCAAATGCAACCTTCTAAACTTGGTGTCTAGGCTGACTAGGTGCAGCTAGGCAACTCGAACTAAGGACTAAGGCTAGTCGAGCCGAGCAGAGACAATGTTCTACCTATCGCAACAACGCGACTCAAGGTAAGAGTTTGGTACCGCCAGCAGTCTCATTGTCGCCCCTTCAATTCATCATCAAGGCCCCATTAACAATTGAAAATTAATAACATAATCCCACAAATATATCGAAGAACCCCATCGCAAAGGCACAAGCTTCCTATCTAATTACAGTGAATTTGCCCAACAACCAATTCTCACTCCGCCAACACGAGCTCCTCATCCAAAGAATAATAACCCATATCCAAATTAGAATAGCCAACCGACGAAGTCAAGCCGATCGAGCCAAGTCTTGCAGACACAAAGATCATCAAATCCCAACAGACAACCCCGCTTCAACACAATCAAGACCCACCAATTTCAGCTGATCGACTCAGACGTAACTAAGCCGTACGCCCACAGATATAAAAATAACTCGTAACACCCTCATTAAAACAGAAACAAACATATAACCATACATATTACATATATCATATCTTCTATAAATAATGAAATCAATAACAAAGTGAGCGCACTCCTCCTTTCACATTTAACAGAACAAAATCATAAATTTGAATTTAAGCCAACTTTAACTCTAAACCAAACTTAAAATATTAAAAAGTTTCTTCAAGAACCGACTCCTTAACTCCACTGAAAGCCGTCAAAGTGATAAAAGAACACTTGTTCTCTTGAAAGTACGCAGTCATAATATATCAGTTCCATATTTCTGACATCATTTACTTAGTTAAACTTTAGAAAGATCTGAACTTTTTCACTGTTTCATGAAAGTGGGGACTTAAATATGTGAATGAATGATCACCGACAGCCTGAGGCCTCACATGCAACGTAGAAGATTAGGGTTTGGTGTGGGCCATTGATGCATTTATGATGCAGTTGATGGTAAAGGGGAAGAATCATGTGGGATATGATGGGATAACAGCTGAGAATTAAAAACAGTTTGTGTGTGCTTCTCTTTCTGTTGGAAGTGAATGAAGATAGCTTAGGAAGGGTTATATTTATTGGGGTTTTAATAAGAGTTCATAATGAAGGTATAAATGGCTAATTAGTACTGCTGATTAGTTTGTTCGATAAGACTCATTTGATTAGAAAATAGATAGTAAGATAATACTAATTTTAGTTTACTCAATAATGATCATTTGTAAGGAAATTAGGTAGCGCGATAGCTCTACTTGGTTAATTTTCTTTTTATAATCGCGTGATTGTCGTAATACGAAATAAATATGAACCAAACTCAAACAATCAGAATAACAGTGAAATAAGCCACAAACATGCTCAAGTTGGAACACAACTCAGCTTATCTTGACTTGATTCGTTTGCTGCCCTGCTATGATGTTTATTTTTGCACCAAAAATTATGTATTCATGTTGAGTCGTTCTCCATCCTTGCGTGTAATAATCATAGTTGCGGATGAGAATTGGTGGCATGTATATAATAAGGTGTGAAGTCTGATGGTGACTTATTTTTCTTAGATGATGTTAGATATTGATAACAATTCATGAAACTTGCTAAAAGTTAAGAGAGATTTGAAGACAAGTGGAGGAAGTTATGTTATGTTATTTTGAAATTCTATCATGCTTCATAGAAAACTAATGGAGGTTAATGAAGTTCGACTATGAATCAAATATTTATCAAGGCATGTAAGAACTCAAGCTGAATGAGGATTAGTTTTGAAAGCTCATGCTTGAGATATTGGATAGAAGAGACGCAAGGAAATTTGGATAATTTTTCATAATTAAATTTTGGTATGCTCATTCTCAAAAGTTAAATCAATTTATATTGACATTCTTGGTTAGTCAGCTCAGGACTTCTTGGACTTCATCTTTAATTGAATAAGAATACTATTTCTTTGGTGTATTTATGACCTTGTTCACATAACAATTTTTTTTTACCATGGAAAACTATGGATTGAAGACTTTGCCTTCAAGAGCATCATTGTTGCTTGTTCATGATCTCTAGTGTGCCTACCACATACTTTTTTCGTCATTGCTTAATACTAAAATTTTCTCTTAAGCACATATAAACAACCATCCATATAGATATAAGTAGGGGTTGATAATTACGTATAACAAGGCAAGAAAATCTTAAGATTCAGAAAGGCAACTCAAAGTTTATGGAAGTAAAACAACTATTGACAATAGATTTCTTAAGTTCCAATTCAAAAAAAAAATTACAAGTTTATATCTTTCTTGGAAATCCACTCAATCGTTGAGGAGGCTCTGCCTTCTTCCTCATCAAAATCTTATATATTCCATAAGTAACAACTTAAATATTGGTACAAAACTCTTTTCACTTATCTCAATAGATATTGACACTAAACACCATATCTTTGTAAGGGGTTGGCTTTGGGTCTCACCTAAATTTGACTCGACTTGAAAAGGTGTGACTTTATCATGACATATTTATTTAATGGATAAAAAACCTAACTCAAAGCTAATATGACTTTAACCCAACTATCCCAAACACGGGTCAAACCCTAACCCTAAAAAATAAATTTTTCAAACTCTTAGATCTTAATTTGACCTAAAATTTGATCAGTAAAATCCTAAAATCGAGTCTGTGATATATTATTATGATGTGTCAATTACTGACACCCCTTGGTAACACGAAAACCTAGAGACTCTAAGCCTTTCAACAACCAAATATTCTTACATTGCCTAGGTGAGAAATAGGAATACCTTACTTTTGACATATAAATGAATGCAACTACTTTGTTAGTGAGACTAGAAATGGCACATCTACTACTACTGTCATTTCAATGATGCATGTAAATTTTGATGCAATTATTACACCTTTTCACCCAATGGATGCATAGAAATAGCCATTTTAGTTTGGTTTACCAAATACATAAAAATTAAAATAGAGATATTATTAATGTGATATGAAAGATTTGTATATAAATGTAAAACATAAAATTTTGATGTTAAGATATGTAAATACATGAGAATTGGATGGCATGCATGCAAATGCCCCTTAAAATTATCAACTTTTTTTTTTTTATCGTTAGGCAAGTACAATTAAATCGGCCTAAAAAAGACTAACACGTGGCCCCACCCAATCTCTTTTATTTTGTTTTTTTTTTAAGAAATGCTTTAATTTACATAAAAAATAACGAGTATCAAATTTATATTAAATATTTTGTTCACCGACAAAAAAAAAATCATATATGAGAAATTTGCATGTATATCACACAAATCTGATGTATGTACATATCTAACTCCTAAAGTTTCATATTTACACTGCTAAGCATCTGTTGGGGCTGCTGCAGCTTATTGAATAATCTGCTGATAAGAGGATTAAAAATAATCTGCTGATAAGCAGCTTATCCTGATAATCTGCTGATGACCAGCTGA